GTTTGTGCAGTTCATGTGTTGAATTGAGACTACCTAATCAAATGGATTTTATGGCCATTTTAGATCATTCGAATTGATATGAAGTTGGCAAACGAGGATGTCAGTATGCTGGCATTTACATCAGAGCAAATCACAGCTCCTTTTCTTCTTCCCGAGATGGTTATGTCTTGTTTCTTCTTCCATTTCTCTTTTATGTTTCCCCAAAATTTATGATTAAAAATTTTGTATTTGATGATTTTTACTTGGTCAGAATGGCTTGTAATCTTAATCAAGGGTTTCTTTTCAGGTTGAAAGAGTGGCCAATATGCTCAATTATTTTTTGCTGCAACTAGTGGGTCCCCAAAGAAAATCTCTTTCTCTGAAAGATCCTGAGAAGTACGAATTTCATCCAAGAAAATTACTTAAGCAGGTTGGTATCAAGTAGATTTTGTTAATCCATGTACTTGTGGGTGAGGAAGTAAGTATACCAATTTGTCTACAAAAGAATCAAAACATACATGGCCCCTGATCTTATTTCCAGTTATACCCATCCCATTTTGAAACTAAATTTTGTGCCTTTGTACCTTTGAAGCATTACCATAGACGTACTAATTTCTTATTTCATCATTTGAAGATTGTCCGTATATATGTTCATCTGGCAAGGGGTGATAAAAATAATGTGTTTCCCATTGCTATCTCTAGTGATGGTCGATCATACAATGATCAGGTAACTGGTTTGCCTTTTCATTCTCATCTGTGAAATATCCTTTTGAGCACAATCTAACAACTTTAGTCTGGTCCAGTTGTTTAGTGCTGCAGCAGAAATCCTCTGGAGAATAGGTGAAGATGTAAGGGTTATACAGGATTTTATTGAGCTTGGTGCAAAAGCCAAGGCTGCAGCTTCTGAAGCCATGGATGCTGAGGCTGCCCTTGGAGATATCCCTGATGAATTTCTTGATCCAATTCAAGTATGTTTTTTCAACTTTTCTTATATCTTATTCTTGAGCGTTAGCTCCAGCTTGACAGATCATGTCTCAGTCAGGCTATTACACTTTCATGCTTGCTAAGCTAACATATTTCCTTGGTTGTGGGGACTGTGTCCACTTCACTTACTGCACGAAATTGCTGGTTGCTCTGTTTTGCTGCAGTACACTTTAATGAAGGATCCAGTGATCTTACCTTCTTCAAGGATCACAGTAGACAGGCCTGTTATCCAGAGGCATCTTCTAAGTGATAATGTAAATTCTTCACCTCTTTACTATTTTTATTTATAGATTTTCTTTCCTAAAACTAAGTTACTTTCTTGTGCTTAAGAGTCCTAAGTTGATATGATTTTGCAGACCGACCCATTTAATCGATCCCATCTCACGGTAGACATGCTGATACCTGACCATGAACTGAAGGCCAGAATTGAGGAGTTTATCAGATCCCAGGAATTAAGAAGGCATGCAGATAATTCAAACATGCAGAGGTCCAAGGCAACAATACAAACAACGCATGAGGAGATGCTCATAGATTAGGTTAAAACTTCCAGATTTCTGGGGTTGTAGAGTTTCTAAGTTATAATATATAACTGTACTTGTTGCCCAAGTGAAGGAAAGAAATTAAATTTATTGAATTGAAAATACGTACAGAAGTTGGATCTTTTTGGTTTTAGTGAAGGCAGCGAAGACTGTATTTTTTTAAAAAAATATTTTTTGAACTTTTTTTCTTGTCTATTGAATTTGTTAAGGAGCTGAAGTTGGTACTTCAGATTTCAATACATTACCATGGTATCATTTGAGCTGAAAATTAGTCAAATTT